TCCAGTCTTCATAGTTACAGCCCTTCTAAACAGCTTTTGAACCTGTCAAATGATCTAAAATTGAGGCAGAAGGCTCAGAACAAGTTCCTACAACTTCCACAAACTATGAGAGAAATTGGGCACTATCACCCACGTGTTGTTAGTAGCTTGGCAGAAACCAGATGTCCAAGCTTACTGTCAAGCAAACAATGTGTGCAGCTACAGAGAAGATGCTGCCTCTTATGGAGTCATCTGGGACAAGGAGGGAACAGCTGGGATTAATGCAGAAGGATAGGGAGAACAAATGCAGTCAACATCCATCCTACCAAACCCTCCTTCCCTCATTCTGCTGCTGGTGGGAACAGGGGGGAGTTATTTAGTACACAGGAAAGAGCCTGCCCATCCCAAAACACTGTTCTTCATCTCCCCTTCAGGTGATGCAATCAGCAGCACACACAGGCGTGCCACCACCAGACCATCACTTTGAGCAGAAGGAGGAGTGATGGGAGTTCAGTCCAGCACTGCCTGGCATCTGCACATGTAAACAGCACATCTAAAGCCACTGTCATCTTCCCTTACCAAGAGCAGCAGCTCTTGGAAAAGCTCTTCCTCCAACTCTGGCTGGTGTAACACTGAGCCGTGACATGGATACAGCAGGCTGGGACTTGCTTAGCTCCCTCAAATGATTCATGGCTCATCAGCAACAAAGGCATAAGCTGTCCTGGTCACTGAGCTGCCATACTCAGAGCTGGCAGCGTGTTACTTCGTACACAACTGCAGTTCACCTGGGCAGCTGGGAATACAGGACTTTTTAGGTATTAAGGAACAAAAAATTGCCATCTACACCAGCAATTCAGCCACGCTCTCTCTTCTTTGTCCTTCAGGCCCTTGGAAGCTGTTCAGTGGTGTGCCCCATGTAACACACAGTGCAGATAATGCAACAGGGGTAAAAATTTAAAACAAAACAGAATGGGGAAGAAAAGAAGCTCTTAAAAACTAAGACAGCAAGAACTTCCTGAACTCAAGCTATAACACAAAATTAATGTTTCTGCTAATATTGCCTCTAGCACCTGCCTGCACTGGCAGTAGGTACAGTATAAACTGCTCAGACTGGGGGTGTCTGGGGAGAAGGTGGATGGGGACAAGTGAAATGCGGTGTCTGAACCCCTGGGCTGAGGATCAAAGCTAACCCTTTTCAAAGTGAACTTCTGCTGGTCTAGGCCTCCTTTGAGTACCAATAAAAAATTCTTCCAATACAGTATACCTGGGCACAAGCATTGCTTTTCTACAACTAAAGTATTTACACCAGTATAAATTCCTTTTGTGGATGTAGTTGCATCCGTATGCGTATTCCTAACAGCAGGAGAGCTTTTTTCCTCTGCTCATAAGGGATTACCTAAAACCATTTTATAGTAGCTGTATATCCTTAAGGCTATTGCCTGTGCCAGAGGCAGCACAGAGTTTACCTCCAGAAATGCAGCTACAGGAGCACATCTCTCATATTGAACAGTCCCTGCCTCTCCCCTTCCTTGTGCAGACACACACCTCAGTCTGACATACACCTCTGCAGAAATGACAGCATGTTTGGGTTTTACCTAACAGGGGCAGTCACACAAATTGATTAATTAGCATTTGTGAAACACAATGAAGAATTTAGGTGCTAAGAAATATTATTACTAATTTAATTTACATCCCATTCAGCCCTCAGTGTCTCCCTGAAACTGCCAACAATGATGCCAATTAGTGGTAATTGTGGTTTGTGACAAGGCTATTTGCCAACTGGGAGTGAAACACAGACCACCAACTCATTTCCCATGGATTGTCCCACAGCTGCCAACAGCAACAACCTGCCCTCCACTCCAGCCAGAACTCTGGCAGTAGAAGATGCTGTATCCCATTACCAACTCTCCAAGGACACAGCCTGCAAAACTTTCAATTAGGGATAAACCAAGACACCTTGTTTTTCCCTCCTACATTAGTTCAGTACATGACCCAGTAACTGATGCCAACATTGCAATACCTAAATGTTAATCTGGGATAATTTCAGATTAAACTTCACTTGGCCCCATCCACACTTAATGAAAATCACATTTTGATTCACACACAGGCCTCACTGTGGTAGAAAACTGTAAAGGCAGCAGCAGTAAACTGCAGGGAACTGAGAGTGTAGGATGCAGTAAATCTTGTGTTTGGGAGACTGTTTAAAGAGTTTTAACACAAGCAAAGAGGTGTATCTTTTTATCAGCTGTCCACAGAGATTTGGAGGACTTTGAAGAAACACAAACAACTAACAGTATTCTGTAATCAATGCACATCATCTGAGCACTGAAACTTTAAATTATTTATATATTTTAAATACGTCTAATTGAAAGGATAACAACACAAACTGTATGAATCATAGCCCTCTCAAGTAATTAGATTTGTTATCCCTGCAGACTGCAAACATACGTTGGTTTTCTATTCTAATGTGAATTCAACCCCTTGTCAGCTGCCCCACGCATGAGAATACACCTCCACTCTTTCATCAGGAAAGATATCAACAGCAGGAAACTAGCCCTTCTTTCATCTCCGAGGCACCCACCCACCTTTCCAAAGGGTTTGCAGCCAGGTGTGGAAGCCTTTCTGAATCTGTGCTGAAAGATCTCTTAATTATTATGGCAAAGGAGGTAAATCCTTTGAGAGCAGCATGCTCCAAGCAGTAGCCTTCTGGTGTTTACTCATCCAGTAGTTGCTTAGTTTGACAGAGCATCAGAAGAGCTCGTAGGAAACTTGGGACTTGCATTGTATGGGCATGAAACTCTTAACGGAGAGGAGCTGCTTTTTCAGATGTCTTGTTATATAATTAAACAAGAAGGGGGGGTGGGGGGGGATCGAGCAAGCTGCCTTTTTGGCACAAACATTACACAGTGCTCACCCTGCCAGCATATTGCATCAGATTCCCACTGCACGGCCAATTCACAGCAGCTGAGGAGCCGAACCCCTGCCTGCTATCTCCCGCTAGCCTACTTCACACTCACAAGGCAGTAAGGACAACTGTTTATTGCATCTTCCTTCCTGAGGAGCCGCCACACCAGGATTAGAGGGAATCCGAGCTTGCAGTTGGGTCTCACAAGCGTCACAGAATGCAGGTTTCAAGACATTTCAACCAGCAAGCCTTAGTGCATGCTGCACAGCCGGTGAACTCCGGGTACCTGTCACTCCGTGCTCGGGGCTGCCCAGGGTCTGACACCATGATAACTCCTATTTCATTACCTTCCTGGGCATGCCTTGAAACCCTGCAGAAAAGGGGGATTCATTTACCCATCATCGAGTGCTTATCAAGGAAGTCCCCCGAGACCTGCGGGAAGGAGACCACACAAACAGGCCTTTGCTCACAGGGCTCCTCGCCTGAACACCTGGCCGAGGCCCCTGACTCTCCTACACTGGGAATTTTTTTTCCCATGGCAGAGATCCGCTCACAGATAGGACCCAATTCTTTATGGCAGAGGCCCACCCCAACACAGGAACAGGGCTTTCTGTGCCCCTCATTGAAGCAGCCTATCTCAGGCACTTCACAAGGGAAATTGAACTTCTTTCCACCATCTGCGGCAATCCAAAAAACAAAAGGTCCAACGGTCCTGAATCCCATGAGGTAAGATATGTGACCTTTTACACCACCGAAATGAGAGCCCACTCCTAGCCCAGCAAGCCAAAAGAGAGACTCCTGTCGATTTCAAAAGCCTTTGGATCTGGCCTGAAAATGCAAACCTCACTGCGCATTCGGACACTGCTCCACAATGCACTTCCAAACAAAACTATATTTAGATTCAATGGGAATTCTGTAGATCATACAGGAACTCTTTGAATGAAAACGAAGGTCAGTAGGGTTTGGCTTCCTCTTCAGACCCTCCCCCCCATTCTTGCAAACATCCAGATAAGCATTGTTTAGAAAACAATACATTACTTCCAAATGTTATCAAAACCCCAACACAGGTTTTGTGTGTCCTGAAACAGAATCTCAGGGCCTTCTGTTGCATTTTGCCCTATCAGCTAATTCTCAGGATCTCTTCAGACGTCTAGGCAAGACTCTGTATCAAGACTGTCTTTTTTCACTTTTCAAAATCTTTGCTCTACCTGCTCTGACAAAGGAAAAGCAACACGGATAATAAAAGCCTTTGATAAAAAAAAAACCAAAACCAAAAACAAACAAACAAAAAAACACGGAAAGGAAAAAGCGTGCAGACAATTACAATACATGCTAATAAAGCTGCACCTGTGTAAGAGGGAAACTCTTGGCATCCTCATGCACTTTCCATTCCCTACCAGGCATTAAGTGCCACCGTGCAAGCACAAACTGGAGGAAAATGACACAGCCAGTGCTTGCCCGAGGGACATTAAGGACAGGAGTAAGCGCATCAGCCAGGCAGGCACGTTCAAGCACCCAGAGGGCAAAAGCACAGCCCACTCAAAAATCATCCATCCTACTCAAAGTTTCCTCCAGCGCCACAGACACAACTGTTTGATTCTCAGCTGCACTTTATGGGCTTCTCGGAAGGAGGAGCTGAACGCCTGCCACCGGCAGCTTCTCTTAGTAAGGATGAAGCCAAATCCCAGTCGCAACACGGAGCAGCATCCCCGGGGCGGTGTCAGCAGGGCTGGGCAGCCCCGGGTCCCGCGGGGGCACACGGGGAGTTCCCCCGGCACCCGGGCTCTGGGCACCTGCACAGCCGCGCCTCGGCTCTTTCTCTCCTGTTCCCAAACCCCCTGTTTTATTTTTAACTGTTTCTGGCAGCCGGTGGCTGCAGCAGCGGCTGAGCGTCCAGCCGCTCAGTTTCGCTTTTTGATAAAAGTCCGGGACGGGAAATCCTTGAACTTCTGAAGAACCCTCCAGGGTTGGAAACCACCGGCTTTGCCGTCACGCTCCCCTCCCAAATCCTTTGGGGATGTACCTGTGACCCCGCGCGGGCCGGGGCCAGGCTCCAGCCCTCCATCCCCCCACCGTTCCCCCGCGATCCCGCGGCGGGGCTGGGCGCTGCACTTACCGGCGGGGCGTTGGGCGGGCAGCCGCCGGCAGCCAGCCGGGCCGCCTGCCTCCTCAGCTCGGCCAGCTGCGCCTGGCAGCTGCGGCACCAGCCCCCGGCCGCCGCCCGCTCCAGCGGCCGAAGCGCTGCCCGCGGCGGCTCCCGCTCCCTCGGGCGGCGGGCGGCTGGCGCAGCGCTCCTCCTCGGCGGCGGCCGGCGGCCTCTTCCGCGGGGAGAGCTCCCGCACCCCGCTCCCCTCCGCCACCTGCGGAGAGACAGCACAGCTCAGCAACGCGGGGCGCGCAGGCAACGCTGCTCCCACCCTCCTCGCGAGGGGAAAAAAAAAAAAAGTGAGGAAGATTTAAAAAAAAAAAAAAAAAAAAAAGGAAAAAACTAAGGAAAAGCTCAACCGCGGGGAGGAGATGAGTGTTGTAGGAACTTACCCCCGGCGCCCGGGGATCGAGTCCCAGAGCCTTCCTGCCGGCGGCCGCGATCATGGTAGCGGGGGATGCTGCCCAGCCCCGCTAGTGCGGGCGGCGCGGAGCCCGGCGGCGCGGCCGGCCCGGGGCGCCCATAGCGGGGCGGGGGTCAGGGCTGCCAACAGTGATCGGGTCCCCGCCGCCCGGGCTGCCGCTCTAGGTGATGTTACCTCCCATATTGAGACGGGAACGAAGTTTGGGATGGGAGAGGGAGGAGTGAGCTCCCCACGGCGGCACGGGGAAGGACCCAGAGCACCGGAGCACGTCGGCAAAAAAAGCTGGGAAAGTGCTCCGAGGGCAGGGGAGGAGGGACCGGACTGGGCTGGGCTGGGCGGGGTGCGGTGAGCGGGGCGGGCTGAGGTTCGGGTTTAGGTTTGGGATAGCGGCGGGGGGAGAAAGATGCCATTTCATAGTGACCCTCCGGGGCAGTGACAAAATCAGTGTGACTTAAGTCGTTCCTTCCTTCACACTCTTAACAGCCAGGCTCCTCGGGAGTCGGGAAAAAAGCGGGCGCGGGGTGCGGTCCCGCCGCAGGGTGCGCAGCCACAGGAGCGGCGCTGGGGGTGCGGGGGCCAGGGGTCCGGCCGGGCTCCGCTCCCCCGCTCCGCCCCGCGGGCTGGGATGCGGTGCCGGGGGGCACAGGCCCCGCGGGGCCGACTGTCCCGCCGCTCGGCGGGCGCGACGGGATGCTCCCACACGCGAGAATTGACCTGACAGATGGAGAAATTAACGTTCGCAGCTAATTGCCTACTTGGCTGCCGCCGCGGGTCGTACATTTAGCACTTTTCTCCTGTTTTTAGGTTTTTTTCCTCCCCCCAGAGAGCGGGGCGCGCGCCGCTGCCTGCCCCGGGCCGGGCCCGCGCGGGCGCAGTGGCGGGGCCGGCACGTGCGCCGGGCCCGGGCCCCGCGCCGGGTGACGGCCGCCGCTTCCCCGCGGGTGCCAACGCGGCTGCTGGGCCCCTTCCCCGCCACCGCGCGAGCGGGTGCTGGTGGCGCGTGGGGCAGCGTCTGTGGTGAAGAGGGCATCGCCCAGCACAAAGAGTGGGAAAACATATATGGCGGGGGGGGGGAATAATCCCGCCCCATGCGGCACCTTTCCGCCACCGCTTAAACTTTTCCGGCTCTCCCGGCACGTGTGTGAAGCGCCCCACCCCTAAGGGTGCATGCCCTGGGCGACGAGCCCAGCGCTGAGGCGCGCCCCGCACCACGGGCAGAGAGCCCCCCTGCGCTGTGATCGCTCCCCCCGCCTGCCCGCACCGCCCGGAAAAGTTGGGAGTAAAGCGGAGACACCGGGGACACGGGCTGGTACCCCGTGTGTCCCTCTTGGGGCAGCCGGGACTGGCACGGACAGGGCACCAGGGTGCCGCGCCCCGGCTCCCCTCTCCCGCCTGCTCGGGGTAATGCTGCTCTCCGGGAAGTCGTTCCGAAATTTCCCGTGCCCAAACAACGCCTGGAAAACCCTCCCGCGGCTCCGCGGCTCGGGTTGGACGGGGCGGGGGGTAAAGGGGTGGGCTCCCCGGCCGACGCTGGGCTGAGCCGCGCTGCGGGGCTGAGCAACCTCCCGTTCTTAGTGAGTACAAAGCCCTCCCAGAAACAGCGGGACGCGGTGCCACCGCTCGCCATGTGAAACCGGGGTCACACAGGGAGCCGGGGTCACATAGGGAGCCGCGGTCCCCGCGGGGAAGCCCCGGCAGCGCTCCGGCAGCGCGGCTCTGCCGCTCCGCGGAGCCAACAGGACTGTTCGTGGTGCTGAAACCTGCCCCACACCGCCGCCCGCAACTTCGCATCGCCAAGTTCGACACCCCCTGCCCGGGAGCCGGCCCCCGACCCCCTCCCGGGCCCCTGCTGGCAAGATCCCCTTACCCTGGCTTTCCTCCGCAGGAGGTGGCTGGTGAAGCCGAAGATGATCTCCGAGTCCAAGCACAAGGCTCCTATCTCCAGGAGGCTGGGATTTTTCCTCGTGGCGTTGGAGGCATCGGGCGATTTTTGAAAAGCCATAGTTTGGGGTTTGAAATATCCTGCTCCCTGAGCGGAGGCGATGTATTTGTATACACACACGCGCACAGAGGGAAAAAAATAGGATAAAATAGCAAACACCTCCCACCCCTTAAAAATTAAAAAGAAAAAAAAAAAAAAGCCAGGCGCGGGTGAGTTACTCCGTCATCTGCCAGGATGCGCCGCCGGGGTGAGGTAGCCGGTAGCCAGCAGCCGGGGCAGACCCGCCAGTCTCTGCCTCTCTGCCGCTCTCCGCCGCTCTCCCTCCTCCCGTTTTCTCCCCCTGTCAGCGCACCTTGCCTGAGCAGCGAGCGCGGAGCCCTCAGCGCCCCACAGGCGCCGCGGCCGCGGCCGGGGCCGGCGCTGCGCCGGGTGCGCGGGGCCCGCAGCGCCCTGCTCCCCCGCCGCCGGCCATCAGCTCGCCGAGCCACGGGGCTCCCACCGCCCGCTGGCCAGGAACCCGCGCTGCGAGCCTCCTGCCTCCCCCCATCCACTGCGGGGTGGGTTGAGTGCCTGGGTTGGTGGGTTGTTTTTTTCCCTCCTCCTGATCCTCCTCCTCCTCCTCCGGGGTGAGCGCAAGGAGGGAAAAGCTGCCAGTGGAAGTCAGTTTAGGAGGGAAGAAAGACGCGCGCAAAAATAAAGGGAAAAAAATAGGGGGAGGTAAAAAAAAAAAAAGGGAGCAGAGTAAAGCACTTTTCGGAAGGGACGCGGTCTCTCACTCCTCCAAAAAGCTTTCCCCTCTTTTCTCCCCACTGCTTAATTGTATTTGCAGTGCGTGCGGACGGCGGGAGGGAGCGAGCTCCTCCTCATCGAGGGGCCGAGACACAGGTGCCCGATGGCTGCTCCCGGACCGGGCAGCCCTCCCTGCAGGCCGCCCCTCCGGCCCGGCCTCCCTGCGTGTCCCGGCCTGGGGCCGGGCAGGGCTCGCGGCCCATCCCGTCGGGCGGGCGGGATGCATGGAAGCGGGGAGGGGGCTCCGGGCAAAGCGCTAATCCCTTCCCGCGAACTTTCCCGCTAAACAAATAATCCTCCCCCTGACAAAAGCATTATCCCGCTTCATATGGCCCGCAGTGAAAGGGAGGTGAATAATCCATTTATCCCGGTCCGCCCCGCCCGGACAGCGGGTGCTGCGGGCAGGGCGCAGCCGGGCCCGCTGCTCCCACCGCAGCTGCGGCCGGGGCAGGGCTGAGGTCCGGCCCCGAAACCTGGCCCCGACCGCAGCCCGGCACGTCGGGAGGGAGCTGCGGGACGGTGGCGGCTGCTGGGGAGCGGGGAGGGAAGGAGGAAAGGAGGGATGGAAATTAAGAGGAAGGGGAATTGAGGGAAGTGAGGAGAAGGGAGGAAGAGGAAATAGAGGAAGAGACAAAAGAAGTCTTAAGTCTCTATGGCCATAAAAGAACACTGTACTTTTTTCTGAATTTACTCAGTTGTCTGTTCTGGGCTTCCCAGCTCATGATGAGTCTGTGCGTTAGATGAAGAAAGTGGGTTAGTGGGTGTCTCTGTAGGATGGAGGTGTACCGATGTAACAGGCAGGCACTAAAGCAGTGCTGGGAGGGAGGAAGGTGGGAGTGGTGAGATGCTTACAGCAAAGGTGCAAGGATTTGTTTGGCTCCTCATCCAGCTATCATGTGGAGACATGCCAATGTGTTAGCTGGTCCCTGAACCCATCTGGGAATGGTGTCTGCAGGGACTCAATCCCTGGGACACCTTGCCCAAACTCACCCTCTCACCCCCCACCAACCCTGTCTCAGCCTCCTGTCTTGCTGTGCACCACTATGCATTCAAAGTCTTTCACCACCCTCCCCTGCCAAGTGGGATTTTCCCCAGCCACAGAAGATCCCCATGCTTGGAAGGTCTCTCATTACCAAGGGAGTAGGAATAAGTGGGTGAAGAGGAGTGCAGAAGGAAAAACTATTCAAGCAAAATGGTGGTATGGACATCAAGAGTCCAGGTAAAAAGCGTCCCCTCCCAGGCACTCAGTTCAGTTGTTCAGCATGAGGTAGAACACTGTCCATCACCAGAACCAGAAAACCAGAAGCATGAAATGTCATTTCACTGGAGTCTTTCCCACCTTGGCTTGGAAACATTTAATAGCAGGGAAAAAACTCAGTCGGGTCAAGAAGGCTTTTTGCCTGCTCTGGAGAAGGCCTGAGGCACCTGTCTCCACCCCCCACATTTTCACACCAACCAAATTTAAGCACTCACACCATGCTCAAAGATAGCCCAGGCCTTCCCTGTCCTCATGCCACCTACAGCCCACCATGACTTCCCTCCCCAACACAGTTTATCCCCCTTCCCTGACTCTTGGCAAAGTTCCTAGGAAGGTCTGGGTCTAAAATATGCCCTGAATGTCAGGCACTGAGGGTCCTGTGCAACCCCACCCTCTCCCCTAATCCTGGAGAGTCTCCCTTTAATCACCCCTATTAAAGCAAATCTCTCCCCACCTCACTGCCCTCAGGTGTCTTGCCGATAAACAAGCTGAAGGGAAAGTTATTACCTTTTATTCATGGTGTCTAAACTAAAGTAAAACATCAACAGGGTGACTGTACATAATAATATACTAGATAAAGTCCATTTTTCTTGGGCCCTCTGAAAGCGATCCCTGAGCATTAAAACAGGTCTCTTAATAAATATCTTATCTCCCCGCCACAGAGCCCTGGCTGCAGATAACCAGACAGCCATTACTGTACCTCTGAAATAACCCCATTTCCAGCAGGGCCACTTCAAACAGGCTTCTCTTTAAAGACCCCCACCTCTTCCCCCAGGGGAGCTGGGAAAAGGCTTGA